GCGCCATTGCACCCCAGCCTGGGTAACATGAGTGAAACTCCGTCTCAAAAAAAAAGAAACGTAATTATGCCAGTCACTGTGATGCACACTTGTAATCCCAGATACTCCTGAGGCTGAGGTGGGAGGATCGCCTGAGCCCAGGAGTCTGAGACCAGCCTGGACAGCATGGTGAGACCTCGTCTAAAAATAAACAAACTCCCCATAAATCTGTTTACTTTTATAATCAGAATATAAACAATTTAGGAACTTGGCCAAGTAAATCCTAAACACTATAAAATACTTGAGTAGTATTAAAGAGAAGGCTGAACAGTGATTAATTTGACATCCATATGAATAGCTGTTATGCTGTGTAATCTTTACCACTAATGTTGTCACTTGAGGTATTTGTTTTTTTCTTGCTCTGTCGCCTGCCCAAGCTGGCCTGGAATGCAATGGCAAAATCATAGCTCACTGCACCCTCAACTTCCCAGGCTCAAATGATCCTCCCACCTCAGGCTCCTGAGTAGTTGGGACCACAGGCATGCACCACCATTACCCAGATTTTTTTTTTTTTTTTAATATTTTTATAGTGACCGGGTCTCATTATGTTGCCCAAACTGGTCTTGAACTTCTAGCCTTAAGTGCCTGGCCAAGACACTTTTTACAAAAAGACACTGTACATAAGTTTTCAGTAAAAGATTTTTTAAAACTACAATTTCAAGCAACAAATAGTACATGAAATGTCAAACTACATACCTATTAATTCAGCAACTGCACTGAATGGCCAGGTGTGACTAGTAGAATTTGTATGTAAAAACTTCGGGCAAAGCTGAAACAAACAAATGCTTCATGTAAATTAATTTAGGACTTACTTTTGAAAATAAAAACCAGTATTTTTGTCCCTGTGTTCAACAACATTGAGACCAAAGTGACTTCGCTGCTTCTCCAGGATACATCTGTAAGATACAATCTAGAATATAAGATTCCTGGAAGATAACATTGGGAACCAACTAAACAGCTTACTCACCAAGACTTGGTTCAAAACCCTTTCCCTCCTTATGTCTACAATGTCATAACTGTCTAATCCCAAACAGGGATCTGACTTGCCAAGACCTACCTTAAAACGATCCAGTCAAGACCCTAAAATCCTATAAACACCATTTCCTAATTTCTCTACTTTTGAGACACAACTAAGACTTTGTCAAGGAGGCATTTTCTCCTAGGTGTATCAGGCCCAATAAACTTAGTTTGCTTGATCAATACGGTTTTCTGGCACTGTGACTTGATTATTTACTCCAAGTTCACTATAGCTGAACTTGTAGCAGTGGAGTAGTTTACATCTACAAACTTCAAAGAACTCAAATAAGAGTTCTAATTGTTAAAAACTAAACTAAACTTGGCCTGAGGATGCCTCCAAACTCCAGTCAGCACATAAGGAACTACAACCTAACAGCATGAAAACTAAATGCCCAACTTAGGAGTATTTGTATTCCAGTAACAAACAGCTGAGTCTCAGTCAATTACAGAAGCCCATCTTCAATCACAGGTCACCAGCTGATTCAGAGAAGGCAAAATGACAAGCTGCAACCAATTAAATTATTCCTGTACCTCACTTTTGTTTTGCCCATAAATACTGGCTGATCACATTGCAGGCCGGAGTGCTTAGAACCTTTTCTGGTTCTGAAGCCTGTCCTTTTTATTTTTTTTTTCTGGACACAGAATCGTACTCTGTCACCCAGGCTTTTGTGCAGTGGCGCAATCTCGGCTCACTGCAACCTCTACCTCCTGGGTTCAAGTGATTCTCCTGCCTCAGACTCTAGAGTAGTTGGGATTACAGATGTGTACTACCACACGTGGCTAATTTTTTGTATTTTTAGTAGAGATGGGGTTTCGCTATGTTGGCCAGGCTGGTCTTGAACTCCTGGCCTCAAGTGATCCACCCTCCTCAGCCTTCCAAAGTGCTAGGATTTCAGGTGTTAGCCACCGCACCCAAGCTCTTATTTTTTTTAGCGATAACAGTCTCTCTCTGCTGCCCAGGCTGCAGTGCAGTAATGTGATCATAGCTCACTGCAGCCTTGAACTCCTGAGTTCAAGTGATTCTCGTACTTCAGCCTTCATAGTAGCTGGGACCACAGGCATGCACTAGTATGCCTGGCTAATTTTTATATTTTTTGTAGAGACAGGAGTCTCACTGTGTTGCCCAGGCTGGTCTCAAACTCCTGGCCTCAAATGATCCTCCAACATCGGCCTCCCAAAGTGCTGGGATTGCAGGAGTGAGCCACAGCACCCCATGTGCCCAATTCTTCAATCATTCTTTGCTCTACAAAACTTTCTTGTCTAAGGTTTTTCCTTTTAACACAATGCATCAAATTTGCATTGCATCTTAATTTCCAAGGCTTTATGTCTGATTTTACTCACAATTCATTATGGAAGAATATGCCAGTCAACCTCATGCTATTGGGAACTCTCTAAATTCCTTAGTAGTATGTACCAAATACATAAAAACCCACAAACAGTTTTAAAAGGCAGAGTCTTGAAATTTTCAGTATGCAGAGAATTTTCATGCTTTTGTTGTTGTTGTTCATTTTGAACAGATTCTCTCCTAAAAAGGGGGAAAAAGGAAGAGCACTTTGTAGTGTGAAGAGCCCCAAAAATACAGGAGTGTAGGTCAAGCCAACCACATGTGTAGTGCTCAGTGTGGCCACAAGGTGTCAGAAAGGTCTATTTTTCCTCTGTCCACGCTTGCTTCTGGACAATTCCCAAACCTTCATTTACCATTAAGTTGAAGTACACAAGTGAGAAACAGTATCCTGAAGAAGACTGTTCAAACTGGTGTATATGCAATTCAGACTTTCTTTGTATATCATGTAAAATGGACTTTCTAAAGCACACATCACAAACAGCTCTTAATGAAATTAAATTTCCAGCTGAGCAAAGCGGATCCCAACACTCTGGGATGCCAAGGCAGGTAGATCATGAAGTCAGGAGTTTGAGACCACTGCACTCCAGCCTATGCAACAGGGGCTGCATTTTTCATTTCAGAAAAAAATAGCCAGGCGTGGTGGCTGGTGCCTGTAGTCCCAGCTACTCGGGAGGCTGAGGCAGAAGAATTGCTTGAACCAAGGACTCGTAGGCTGCAGTGAGCCAAGGTCGCACCACTGCACTTTAGCCTGGATGGCAGAGTCAAACTTCGTCTCGGGGTGGGGGAAAAGAAGAAAAACACTTCTTCCATCAAATACATTCCAAGACCCTCAATGGATTCCTAAAACTGCAGGTGGTACCAAACCATATATATGCTACGTTTTTTTCCTATACATACATAATGATAAAGTTCAATTTACAAATTAGGCATAGTAAGAAATTCACATTTTAGGTTGGGGAGGGACAGCCAGGCTGGGGGCAGCTGGGCCGCTGGACAGGCCCCAGGCTTTGCCCTCACACCGGCCTGCCACCCCCATGACGTGTTCCTCATGATCTGGTGCCACAAGACCACCATCTTCGAGGACGCCAAGGAGTCCAGCACGGTGTTCAAGCTGAAGCGAATCATCAAGGGCATCCTCAAGCGGCCACCAGACGAGCAGCAGCTGTACAAGGGTTACCAACTCTTGGATGGTAGCAAGACACTGGGCAAGTGTGGCTTCACCAGCCAAACAGCATGGCCACAGGCCCCAGCCACAATGGGGCTGGCCTTCCAGGAAGATGACACCTTTGAGGCCCGGTGCATCAAGCCGCTTTCCAGCCCACCCAAGCTGCCCAACGTGATGAAGCCCCAGGACTTGGGAAGCAGTGCCAATGAACAAGCGGTGCAGTGAGGACCCCCACCAAGAGGCCCATTACCCTCAATAAAAGAGATTTGGGAATCAGAAAAACAAAAAGAAATTAACATTTTATTATTTATTTAGAGATGGAGTCTTGCTCTGTTTCCCAGGCTGGAGTGCAGTGTGGTGGCTCACTGCAACCTCACCTCCAGGTGCAAGTAATTCTCCTGCCTCAGCCTCCTAAGTAGTTGGGACTACAGGTGTGTGCCACCATGCCTGGCTAATTTTTTGGATTTTTGGCAGAGACGGGGTTTCATCATGTTGGCCAGCCTGGTCTCAAACTTCTGATCTCAAGTGATTCGCCCACCTTGGCCTCTCAAAGTGCTGGGATTACAGATGTGAGCCACCATGCCTGGCCAAATTAACAACTTATTTTAGAAAAACTTTTGCTCATTGCCCAGGCTGGAGTGCAATGGCGGGATCTCAACTCAGGGCAACCTCCACCTCCCAGGTTCAACCAATTCTCCCGCCTCAGCCTCCTGAGTAGCAGAGATTATAAGCATGTGCCACCACGTCCAGCTAATTTTTGTATTTTTAGTAGAGACAGGGAAAGACAGGGGTTCACCACATTGGCCAGGTTGGTCTTGAACTCCTCACCTCAAGTGATTCCCCTGCCTCAGCCTCCCAAAGTGCCAAGATTACAGGCATGCACCACCAAGTCCGGCCAACTTAACAATAATTTAATAATAGAATGATACAATAATACTAAATCTGATAACCCCACAGCTACTAAGTGACTAATAGGTGGGCAGCAGATATACACAGCATGGATACACTGGACAAAGGGATGATTCACATGCCAGTTTCTACTCAGATGATGGGGCACAGTTTAGAATTTATGAACTATTTCTCTTTTTTTCTTTCTTTTTTTTTTTGGAGACCAAGTCTCGCTCTTGTCCCCCAGGCTGGAGTGCAATGCCACAATCTGAGCTCACTGCAATCTCTGACTCCCAAGTTCAAATGATTCTTCTGCCTCAGCCTCCTGAGTAGCTGGGATTACAGGCACCCGCCACCACACCTGGCTAATTTTTGTATTTTTAGTAGAGACGGGATTTCACCGAATTGGCCCAGCTGGTCTCAAACTCCTGACCTCAGGTGATCCACCCGTCTCGACTTCCCAAAGTGCTGGGATTACAGGCGTGAATCACTGTGCCCGACCCAGAATTTATGAACTATTTCTATAATTTTCCATTTAACATTTTCAGACCATGGTTGACTTTGGGTAACTGAAACTGAAGAAAGCAAAGCTGCAGAGAAGGGGGGACTACTGTAGTAAAATTCCTAGATAGAAAGTAGAATGGTGTTTGTCAGATGCTGGGGAAGTTACAATTTAATGGGTACAGGGTTTTAGTTTTGCAGCAAGAAAACAGTTCCGGAGACTGATTACAAAACAATCTGGATGTACTTAGCACAACTGAATTGAAACTTTAAAACGCTTAGGATAATAAATTGTATACTACATGTGTTTTACCACAATAATAACCAAACAAACAGCAAGTTAGCAAACTGAACCTTGTGAAACTCCTTTCTCCCTTTTCCATGCCAATTTCTAAGAGCTAGCAGCCAGGATTATGCCATGGCAGAAGACTACATGTAGAATTCCTCCTTGGGAAACTGATTTTTAAAAGTTCTATTTGGTTCTTTAACAATTTCGCCTGGCCTTCTGGAGAGCATCTTGTTTTTGTAGTTCTTGCTTCTTAAAATTACTTCTTAAAATTTTTAGTTTTAAAAAATATACTTATTTTATGGTCCAACAGTTCCTACTTTTAATGGTCTACAAATACCAACGTAGAGCACCCCGACAAAATGATTTCTTCCTATGTGATCACCCAACAGTGAAGGCCACCAAAGGACTAGCTCTATTCATGTATGAAAATCTTGCAATCAGCTTTTAGTGTCTCACTTAAAAATGTGACAAGACTGACAGATGTGGTGGTTCATGCCTGTAATCCCAGCACTTTGGGAGGCCAAGGCAGGTGGATCACCTGAGGTCAGGAGTTCAAAACCAGCCTGGCCAATATGGTGAAAGCCTGTCTCTACTAAAAATAAAATTAAAAAATCAGCCGAGCATGGTGGCGCATGCCTGTAATCCCAGCTATTTGGGAGGCTGAGGCAGAGGAATTGCTTGACCCTGGAAGCCAGAGGTTGCAGTGAGCCAAGATCACGTCACTGCACTCCAGCCTGGGCAACAAGAGTGAAACTCCGCCTTAAAAAAACAAAAACAAAAACAAAAACATGAGAAAGCTGTTTCTAGACATTTGAAAGTGTTTAAAATTAGAAACCAAGGCCGGGCATGGTGGCTCACACTGTAATCCAAGCACTCTGGAGGCCAAGGCGGGCAGATCACCTGAGGTCAGGAGTTCAAGAACAGCCTGACCAACATGGTGAAACCCTGTCTTAAAAAAAAAAAAAAAAAAAATATATATATATATATACACACACACACACACATACATATATGTATATAAAATAAATTAGAAACCAAAAACAATATACAGTAAAAGAAACAGGAAGAAACATGGCCTCATGTAATTTTTAAAACAACACTTTGAGGTAGGTAAGATTATTATTGCCATCATTCAAATTGGAAACTCTGGCACAAAGAGGTTAAATGACTTAGCCAAGGACATGCACCCAGTTATGAGTCAGGATTTGAACCGGAGAGAGTGAGCTTCAGAATGTCAGTCACTAAGCTACATATCAGAGGTATACGTGAGATGGAGACACATGAAAAGGGGAAGGAAATTTCCAGACAGATGTTAAAGGGAAGTCCCCAAATTACAACTTAGCCTATGACTCCCAACTGACTTCCGAATAACAAAATACTGGGTGTGTCTGAATCCATCTGGAAAAGAGCTCACAGTTCTCTGGATGATCGGTACAGAGAAAAACTAAAAAAACAAAATATAAATCAGTTAACTTCAGGGAAAACAAAAGGTATGTATAGGAAAGAAAAAGCAATCATACTACACTAGTTGGCTCATTTGTGAGTAAGAGTAATAACAAACTCTATAGTAATTCAACCAAAAAAAGTGGTAAAAGCATTGGAAGTATGAGAGGTGGTGAAGAATGTGTGTCAGCTAAATCCACAGCAGGATTTCTGGAAAAAACAACAACAACAACAGCAACAACAACAACAAAAAAAAGTATATGCATTTCATATCACTAGAATTACAGAATAAAAAGCAAAAATTTTAAAATGTTTTTGTCATTCTGCATTTCACCCTGGGACGTCCTAAATGACTTTTTAAAAGTTTTTGTCACTGTGCATTTCATCCCGACCCCCTACCTGACTTTTTAAAATGTGTATACATTGGGCACAGCACAGTGGCTTAGGCCTGTAATCCCAGCGCTTGAGGAGGCGGCAAGGCGGGAGGATCACCTGAGGTGGAGAGTTTGAGACCAGCCTGGACAACATGGTGAAACTCCATCTCTACTGAAAACACAAAAATTAGCCAGGTGTGGTGGCCCACACGTGTAAATCCAGCTACTCAGGAGGCGGAGGAAGGAGCACTGCTTGAAACCGAGAGGTGGAGGCTATAGTAAGTCAAGATCATGCCACTGCGCTCAAGCCTGGGTGACAGAGTGAGACTCTACCTCCAAAAAAAAAAAAAAAAAAAAAGGCTAGGCGAGGTGGCTCATGCTGGTAATCCCAGCACTTTGGGAGGCCAAGGCAGGCAGACATGGTTAAACCCAGTCTTTACTAAAAATACAAAAATTAGCTGGGGTTGTGGCAGGCACCTGTCATCCCACCTACCCAGGAGGCTGAGGCACGAGAATTGCTTGAACCCGGGAGGTGACTGCAGTGAGCTTAGATGGTGTCGATGCACACTACAGCCTGAGTGACAGAGCTAGACTCCATCTCTCAAAAAAAAAAAAGTGTATCCATTAAGGGTTCACCTTTTGTGCCTTAAAATGTAAGACTTTTGACTAATACATTAGCTAATTCATTTTTTTTCTTTTTTTTTTTTTTTTTGAGATGGAGTCTCACTTTGTCGCCCAGGCTGGAGTGCAATGGCAAGATCTCAGCTCACTGCAACTTCCACCTCCAGGGTTCAAGAGATTCTCCTGCCTCAGCCTCCCGAGTAGCTGGGATTATAGGCACCCACCACCAAGCCAGGCTAATTTTTTGTATTTTTAGTAGGGATGGGGTTTCACTATGTTGGCCAGGCTGGTCTCCGCCTCCCAAAGTGCTGGGATTTTAGGCGTGAGCCGCCACGCTCCGCCAGCTCATTAATTTCTATCTCCATTAATGCAATCATTTGAGAACTACAGGCAAATAATATGGCTATATTCCAATAAAATTTTATGGAAACTGAAATTTGTATTTCACATAATTTTTATGTCACTAAACCTGCTTCTTTTTTTCTCAACCATTTACAAATGTATAAATCACTCTTGGCCTTCAAGCCATACAAAAACAGATGTCAGGCTGGATTTGGCCCATCAGCTGAATGTAGTTTGCCAACTCCTGACCTAAGGCAAAAGCAAAAGGGCTGCAGATGGGAGATTTCTGTCATAAGGTTCCCAACAGCCCGTATTACCCACAAAACAAAGACCCAGCACATGGACAGCAGCTACACCCAGAGTACCCGCTAACAAATGCTGGTCTCTTAAGGCTGTTTGACCATTATCTCTGCTTCCTTTCTCCCCTCAATCTTGAAGAGCCAGAGTCTACAACAAGGGCCCAGAGGCCGGGAAGGAAGAGGAGAATCAAAGGACAGAAACAGTTAAGAAATCAACTCACTCCTTTTCTCCACTACAAGTTTCTGGGCCTGAACAAGACTGAACCTCGGGAGGGGAAGGGGAGGAGGGAAGAAGGGAGAAAGGGGAGAGAGAGAAAATAGAGATTGTAAACTGATGAGGCCAGACTTTACAATATCTTAAGCTAATGGGGAAGCGTCAGTCGGCCCAGATTCACAGAAGTGGGGAATAACTGTTTACGGCCGGTGGCAAACACACACACACACACACAAAGTTGCTCTCTATTTTCAAACTACCAAAGCCTATCTCACTCAATAAGCCAGTTATATAACGAAAGGATGGACATTCATCCAGAATACATAAAGAACTTTTACAAATCACAAGAAAAAAAAAAAAAATCAATAAAGATCCTCCCAAAAAAAAAAAAAAAAAGGGGCAAAGGAAACAAAAAGGCAATTAAAAAAAAAAAAAAAAAAACACAAACACAAAAAACCACAAAGACTAATACATGCGAAGAGCTCAACTACACAGTCAAGGAAATGCAAGTAAAACCAGACATCATTTCACAAAGATCGGACTCGAAAAAATTTAAAGTCCGACAGCACCAGGTGTTAGAATCTGGCAAAACGAATGAAAGAAATCGCAGAGCAAACCACCAATTATTCACTACGGGTTTGTACCCCAAGCAGTCACTACCAATTCGAATGTTAAAATTAATGGCACCGGGACAATTATTCTTTGGCAAGAGTCAACAACTTTCAGAGAATAGGAACATTTCTGCTTAGCATCAACTGCGCTCACAAGGAAGAAAACTTTTTTAGGATTATCAGGTGGGGAAGCCACGCCCACATTTCTTGGGCGTGAGAGTTCAAGTCCTCCTGAGTGACCGCTCCCTACGATTTAAGATACGTGAAACGCCTGCAGGGTTTCCGTGAAATCGAAACTCCCCCAAACAGACGCAACGCGGGATAAAGAGATCCCGGCGATCTAGTGTCTGAGCCCCAGGGCTTCCATTGCCAAGAAAGCTGCGGGCACTGACAGTAATCAGGCAGGCTCGTCCCGGCTCCGCTAGCCCGAGGGCAGCCCCGGAGCCCCGTCCCCCTCACCGGCGTTTCTGGATGCGGAAACCGCTCCCTCCCACCACGGTGCCCCACAGGCTTAAGAGGGTCAGGAGCTCCGCGGCCCGAGGACAGGCGGAACTCCCGCCGAGGCCTCGCCCGCGGACCACAGCTGCGAGGAGGCTAGGAGGGAGCTGGGAGGAGGGGCCGCGGCCCTGGCCCGCCCCGAAGCCACCGGAGCGAAACTGAAACACAATGCGGAGGCGACGGAACGCAGCCCGGCCCTCAGCCGAGCCGCTCCGCCGACAGGAGCGAGATGGCCGCCCCCTCCTCTGGCCCCGCTGCAGCCCCCGCTGCCACGCCGGGCTCACAAGCCGCCACCGCCCACTGCCAGCCCCTCCTCGCTTGCCCGCCTGCCCGCCCTCCTGGGACACGGCCCGCTCCACCCCTCGTGGCTGCTCACCGCGCTGAGGCGTATCCCGCGGGGTGGCTGTGCCGCCATCTTGAGCGAGCTACAAAGCCAGGACCGGCCTCAGCCGCAACCCGAGTGGGAGACGGTGGAACGACTAGAGCCCTGGAGGTCACGCCCACTTCCGGGGAGGGGCGCGCGACTGGCCCCTCCCACCCACTTCCGCCTCCAGGCAAAGCCGAAGTGGGAGCTTGGGGAGGGTGAATTGCCTGCCTGGTTAAAGCAGGGTACGCTGGGAGCTGAGGTCCCGGCGCCGGGCCCTGCGGGACTAGAGCGCATGCGCGAGGGGCGGCAGTCCTGTACCTTTCTGGACACCAAGCTGGACACGGAAACTTGGGGGTCGCGAGTTTGAAGCCTGGCGCGAGGTGTGGTGTAGCCGAGACAGGTGAACCCCAGGCACTTAACCTGGTAGGGCGTGAATTGCACTGAAAAAAGCCATTCCCTATCCACCAGTGTCCATAAAGACGAAATAAAGACGGAAATTATTGCCCTGAAAATTATCAACTTTTGATTCAAGAAAAAAAAAAAAAAAGAGTCCTATGGCCCAGCGCGGTGGGTAACGCCTGTAATCCCAGCACTTTGGTAGGCTGAGGCGGGCAGATTACTAGAAGTCAGGAGTTCGAGACCAGCCTGGCCAATATGGTGAAACCCTGTCTCTACTTCGGGCCTGGGGGTGTGCGCCTGTAATCCCAGAAGACTCACTTGAACCCCAGAGGCTGAGATTGCGGTGAGCCGAGATCACACGATTGCACTCCAGCCTGGGCGCTGCAGCCAGGCTCCATCTCAAAAAAAAAAAAAAAAAGAGTCCTAAAGGCTAAAACCTGGGTGCAGTGAGTGGCTCACACCTATAATCCCAACACATTGGGAGGTCGAGGCTGGGGGATCACTTGGCATGGGTTCAAGACCAGCCCAGCCAATATGTGGAACACCATCTCTACCAAAAATACCAAAATTAGCTGGGCGTGGTGGTGGGCGTCTGTAATCCCAGCTACTCAGGAGGCTGAGGCAGGAGAATTGCTTGAATCCGAGAGGTGGAGGTTGCAGTGAGCCGAGATGGCACCACTGCACTCCAGCCTGGGGCTCTGGTGACAGAGCAAGTTTCTCAAAATTAATTAATTAATTAATTTTTTAAAAAAGCAAAATTGGCTGGGTGCAGTGGCTCATGCCTGTAATCCCAGCACTTTGAGATGCTAAAGCATGAGGATCTCTTTGACCCAGGAGTTCAAGATGAGCCTGGGCAACACGGGTAGACCTCATTACTTAAAAAAATGTTTTTAACTTTGCTGCCGGGCATGGTGGCTCACCCCTGTAATCCCTGCACTTTGGGCAGCTGAGGTGGGCGGATCACCTGAGGGCAGGAGTTCAAGACCAGCCTGGCCAACATGAAGAAACCCCATCTCTACTGTTGGAGACAATGACTTCTAAATTTCTCTTCAAAGAATCAGTATGTCAGTAGGTTCAGTTCTTTGTCCTCCATTTTAAAGTTTAACTTCCTTGTAGTTTCAGTAAACAACCTTCTCCACCAGTTCTAATCAGTAGTTCACATCTGTTCCCCTCGGCCAATATCCAACATTCTTGAAGAAAAGAATTTTCAACCCAGAATTTCATATCCAGTCAAACTAAGCTTCATAAGCAAAGGAGAAATAAAATCCTTTACAGACAAGCAAATGCTGAGAGATTTTGTCACCACCAAGCCTGCTTTACAAGAGCTCCTGAAGGAAGCACTAAATAACAAAGGAAAAACTGGTACCAGCCACTGCAAAAACATACCAAATTGTAAAGACCATCGTCACTATGAAGAAACTGCATCAACTAACAGGTAAAATAACCAGCTAGCACCATAATGACAGGATCAGATTCACACATAATCATATTAACCTTAAATGTAAATGGGCTAAATGCCCCAATTAAAAGACACAGACTGGCAAATTGGATAAGGAGTCAAGACCCATGGGTGTGCTATATTCAGGAGACCCATCTCATGTGCAATGACACACCTAGGCTCAAAATGAAGCAGTGGAGGAATATTTACCAAGCAAATGGAAAACAAACAAACAAAAAAAAGCAGGGGTTGCAATCCTAGTCTCTGATAAAACAGACTTTTTTTTTTTTTTTTTTTTTTTTTTTTTTTAAGACGGGGTTTCACCATGTTGGTCAGGCTGGTCTTGAACTCCCGACCTCAGGTGATCTGCCCGCCTCAGCCTCCCAGAGTGCTGGGATTACAGGTGTGAGCCACTGCACCCGGCCTAAAACAGACTTTAAACCAGCAAAGATCAAAAAAGACAAAGAGGGCATTACATAATTGTAAAGGGATCAATGCAGCAAGAAGAGCTAACTCTCTTAAATGTATATGCACCCAATACAGGAGCACCCAGATTCATAAAGCAAGTTCTTAGAGACCTACAAAGGGACTTAGACTCCCACACGATAATAGTGGGAGATTTTAACACCCCACTGTCAATATTAGACAGATTAACAATACAGAAAATTAAGGCTATTTAGGACTTGAACTCAGCTCTGGACCAAGAAGACCTAATAGACATCTAAAGGACTCTCCACCCCAAATCAACAGAATATACATTCTTCCCAGCACTGAATCACACTCATCCTTTTTTTTTTTTTTTTTTAAGATGGGGTTTCATCATGATGGTCAGGCTAGTCTTGAACTCATGACTCAGGTGATCCACCCACCTCAGCCTCCCAAAGTGCTAGGATTACAGGCGTGAGCCACTGCATCTGGCCCATCACACTCATTCTAAAATTGAACGCGTAACTGGAAGAAAAACACCCCTCAGCAAATGAAAAAGAATGAAAATCGTAACACACAGTCTCTGGGACCACAGTGCAATCAAATATGAACTCAGGATTCAGAAACTCCCTCAAAACCACACAACTACATGGAAACTGAACAACCTGCTCCTGAATGACTACTGGGTAAATAACGAAATTAAGACAGAAATAAATCAGTTCTTTGAAACCAATGACAACAAAGACACAACATACCAGAATCTCTGGGGCACAGCTAAAACAGCGTTTAGAGGGAAATTTATAGTGCTAAATGCCCAAAGGAGAAAGTTGAAAAGATCTAAAATCAACACCCTAACATCACAGTTAAAAGAACTAGATAAGCAAGAGCAAACGAATTCAAAAGCTAGCAGAAGACAAAAATAACTAAGATCAGAGAAGAACTGAAAGAGATAGAGACATTAAAAAAAAAAAAAACCTTCAAAAAAAATCAATGATCAGCTGGGCTCGGTGGCTCACGCCTGTAATCCCAGCACTTTGGGAGGCTGAGGCAGGTAGATCACGAGGGCGAGAGATCGAGACTGACATGGTGAAACCCTGTCTCTACTAAAAAACACAAAAATTAGCTGGGCATGGTGCCACATGCCTGTAGCCTCATCTACTCAGGAAGCTGAGGTGGGAGGATGGATTGAGGTCGGGAGGCAGAGGTTGCAGTGAGCCAAGATCACACCACTGCACTCCAGCCTGGGCAACAGAGCAAGACCCTGCCTCAAAAAATAAAAAATAAATATAAAAGATGTGCTGGCTATATGCTTGGCAATGTAGAAAGAATAGAAGTGTGAAAAAAAGAGAAGAGGAGATAGAGGATGGAGACAGCAGGTACAAAAAAAAGTCTATTCAGTAATCTTACTGATAGTAGTGTTGCTATTGCTATTATCAGAATGCTTTGTGTTTAAATTGGGCTAAAACTAATGAATAATTACCTAATATTCTAATCTATCATCCCCATACCCTCAAGAGCCAGAATTCTCAGAGTAATAAAAAAGAAATACACTGTAAGCTAGGCATGGCGGCTCATGCCTGTAATCCCAGCACTTTGAGAGGCGGAGGCAGGTGGATGATTGCCTGAGGTCAGGAGTTCAAGACCAGCCTGGCCAACGTGGTGAAACCCTGTCTCTACTAAAAATACAAAAATTAGCCAGGCGTGGTTGCAGGTGCCTATAATCCCAGCTACTCGGGAGGCTGAGGCAGGAGAATCGCTTGAACCTGGGAGGCGGAGGTTGCCGTGAGCAAAGTTCATGGCACTGCACTTGAGCCTGGGTGAAAGAGCAAAAAAAAAAAAAAAAAAAAAAAAAAAAAAAAAGAGAGAGGCCGGGCACAGTGGCTCACACGTGTAATCCCAGCACTTTGGGAGGCTGAGGCAGGTGGACCACCTGAGGGCAGGAGTTCGAGACCACCCTGGCCAACATGGCAAAACCCCATCTCTACTAAAAATACAAAAAATTAGCCAGGCATGGTGACACACACCTGTAGTCCCAGCTACTTGGGAGGCTGAGCCAGGAGAATCGCTTGAACCTGGGAGGTGGAGGTTGCAATGAGACGAGATTGCACCACCACACTCCAGCATGGGTGACAGAGCAAGACTCTGTCTCAAAAATTAATTAGAAATAAATAAATAAAAAGAATTAGGATTGTAATCTCAAAATACCATTTTTTCTATGGTTATTTTTTTCAGGAGGAAAAAAGGCATCTGAGACGACTGATTTTAAGTCTGCCAAGAGAATCCCGGAAACTTGTCACACCAGATAGCAAAGACACTATTAAAGACCACTGCCATTGTGTCAAACCAATTGAGACCTAATTTGAACAGACAGTTTTGTTAGGTTTCTCAAAAGACCAAATTTCAACAAATTTAGTTTAATGATCTAATTGGCTTTTTTTTGTGAGTAATAAATGGGCAACATCTCATCTAAAAACAGAGGTTTTTAGACAGGACAGTTGGGTTTGTAAGGCAACTTGAGCAGGAACCAGAAAATAGCAAATACAAAAAGCAGATTGGTTAATATCCAGTTGCTTCAGGTCACTTTCCCTGTAGGGGAAAGCAGAGAGGACTTCCTCATTATGCTGGCTAAAACTGACCCATCTGCATCAAATTAACGACTTGGTTTCATTTTGTGACATGCAACTTTGGCATGAGTGACTCCATTTTGTTCTGGTCTGTTGGTCTACTGCAAAAGTTCAATCCAAATAAATGGCTTCCCATAGACTTTATTTGCTTGTTTTTATTTATTTGTTTGTTTGTTTGAGATGGAGTCTTGCTCTGTTTCCCAGGCTGGAGTGCAGTGGCACAATCTTGGCTCACTGCAACCTCCACCACCTGGGTTCAAAGAATTCTCCTGCCTCAGCCTCTCAAGTAGCTGGGACTACAGATGTGTGCCACCACGCCCAGCTTATTTTTGCATTTTTCGTAGAGACAGGGTT